TCTTGCAACACAACACAAGAAAGTTGTATCTTGTTTCTTATCTACATTTGGTATCAGAGCGAGGTGAAGACGGTGCCGGTTTGAGAGTCGGTTTCAAGAAAACTGTAGCCTTTCGCTGTGGGGCAGACGCAGCGGGGAACGGGTTCGGTTTAAGGGGGTGTGATTCGAGGTTGATTACAAAGCAACCCCGGTTTCTTATCGGGCTTGTGAGAGACTAACCGGAGGCGCGGAGTAAACGATCGGGAAGACGTCAAAGCGGGTGACTTTGAATCGGTTCGTTCTGCGGGTGACGGAAGACGGTAAAGGTGGTCGTGACCTTGTCTTGTTGTTTGGTGGAAAAGTGCTCTCGGAACAAGTTTGATTAGGTCGGGGTTGTTAAAAAGAGAATAAGTTCTTGACCAGTTTGTTTATGATAAGGGGATACCGACGTAGGTGCGTGAAAAGCGGGCAAGAAGGATCCGTCAAAGCAGGTGGCTTTGGATTCAGTCCGTTTGGCATGATTGAAAGAAAACGGTGAAGCGGGTACCGTTGTTTTCTTCATCGGTGGAGTTGCCTCTTTGAAGAACGGTAATCGAAACAAAGGAAGAGATTGGACAAACAACACGGTGTGAACATTATGGCGGTGGAAGTTCAAATCGGGAGGCTTTGGATGTGGCCGGGGAGAGGTCGTAAATCCTGGAAAAGTCTAGACGGTAATGAACATGTCCAACAGGATGCCATGGTATATGTCACATGTGTTGTCTCCAATTAAAAGGGGTTATTAGAAGACTTTAGATGTGACCGAGGTGAAGTTCGGGTGTCCAGGAAAGATCGAGAAACGGGGATGGTTCGAAAAGATGGTGATTAAACGATGTTGTGAACAAGTGGTATGACCAATCCGATTAAGGGGATGATTGTTGGGTTAATCGGATATTAAACCAAGGGCATTTTAGGAAAGTTCCATATTTAAGTTTTATTTTATTGTTTTAGAGTTTGAGTAGGATTCTATTTCAATTAGTATATATAGTTGTAATAGTTTGTTTTTTAATTGAGTGAGAAACCCACGTTTTGGTGAAACCTTTGGAATCAAGTAACTATTTTTTTATAGTGGTTTTCTTTTTTCCTTGTTGTTCGGTACCTCTTGCAACACAACACAAGAAAGTTGTATCTTGTTTCTTATCTACAAAGTATACACAACTCGAATGCCAACGATGCACACCACTACCGGACACGACTTTGACATACACCAAATACTAGATACTAGTCTGGCATCGATCTTCTCAACTTAGAAACATTTTGCTTCTCAATTGTTTGTCTATTGCTTTATAATATACTAGTTCATTATGAACCCATGGTCGAACCGATTGAGCCGGAAACCGTTCACCAGACCAGTTCAACTAAAAGATCGGTTGTATCCTCTCATAGTCATGTCGTGACGTCATCAATAAAACCATTAAAATAAGAACACTCTTCGATATTAATTTTAAAATTATGTATCTTACCATAAAAATTGCCTTAATACATTTCTTTAAATAAAAGATTAATTACTAAATCATACAACGTACCTAAGTTACTTATGATAAACATTTTTCAATGAAAAGTCTAATGGTGGTTTTTTTTTTGACAAAAGTTATGAAAGATTATACTAGGGATAAGCAGTTAGTATCAAATCTTGATCAACGGTCCGTACCGGAACCGGTACCGGTACCGAATTTAATGAGACAGTATTCGGTACTCACGAAATTCATGACTCGGTACCGTTGGTAACGGTGTTATTACCGGAAACCGATACCCGTACCAATAATGTTAATTCGATTCGTTACTTATCGTTTTTTCACCCATTTAATCAGGATTCACGGGTCCATCCCATGCTCAACCCTGGATTAGACAGGTTTTAGAAAAGACCATATAACATCTCTATTTTTTATATTGTTTTATATGGTAATTGAAAAATGATGGATGATTTCGATTGTTGTTATTTAGACTTGGATAGAGGAGTTGAAATAAATATCAAGTTGGAATCCGTGTATTGAAAGATGGAATTTAGGAAGAAAAGTCTTTTGTTAAGATGTTTTGTTAGTTTCGATGATGAAAAGGTTTTGTTTTGACATATTTTAGTCACTCATCATGTACTTGTATCAAAGGGCATGTGGTCTAATGGCATCAAACATGTTGGAAATGTGTCATTCAGCCAACTGGTTGAGGATTCCAGGCCCATGATAGACAAAAGTGTATCAGAAGCATCAATTGGTTAAAGAAAAGAAACTTAGATAAACACAAAAGGCAGAAAAGACAAAGTAGCAGCTTAAAAGATGAAGATGAAATCCAGCAGAAAACGAAGCTAGTGACATTGAGTGCATTAACAAAGAAAGAGATTACTACATACAGAAAATTCAATATGTCCAGCCAGGAGGAGGATTGAAAATTAAACAAAGGTACATGTGATGAGATGAAACATGGCAGTTGATGGGTCTTTAGAAAATGTTAATGCACATAATATATATAAATATATGATGATGATGAGATGAAGATTCAAGATGCTATCTATGAACATGAACATCTTTGGGACAAGAGCAGTTTGATTCACGGGAAAATGTTTCCAGAAGAATACTGAAATGCTTCGAAGTTCAAATTATCTCTCTCTCTCTCTCTCTCTCTCTCTCTCTCTCTCTCTCTCTCTCTCTCTCTATATATATATATATATATATATATATCACCTGACTGACTTCATCTGGAATCCCCACCCCCTTTTGTATACTTGTGTGTGCAATGGATCGATTGATTTGCAGCTTTTCAGCTTTCATCATACACAGACACACTGACTGACTGGCTCAAAACTCAAAAGCTTCGCAGCCTTCTCTGCTTCTGCCTGCTGCTTGCTTTGCTTGCTTAAATTAAAGAATGTCTCAAGTCTCAAGTGAAACAGAGAGAGGAGGGAGGTTGGTTGGGTGCTTAAAAGTTAAAAGGGGGCTTCAAGGGATTCATCCCATACATCTGCACTACCATTAGACGCATCTTCAGCATCTTCCTCCATTGAAAGCCGTATATATTCCCGATGTGCAAACCGGTCCCACTCTGTCAATGTCGGATTCTCACGTTCCTGTAGCAGTTGTTCATTTATTATTATTATTATTTTTTAAAACAATTTTAATTTGGATTAACATCATTGATTGATACCTACCTGACGAATGAGGAAGGGGTCGCGGCTTTCATACGCCATGAACTTGTTCAGATTAAACAAGATATTGAAAACACTGCCAGAAAGTTTGCTTCCTTTTAGGTCGCCAAGTGTAAAATACCCCTCATCCTGCAACTCAAAATCGTTTTCTTTTTTTTTTTAATAAGAATAATAAATGAAAGCATCAAATATCAGATATAGTTACTAAGTAAAAGTAGCATACCTTTGGTCCAACCATGTCAACTATCTGACATAAAATGTCCTCAAAAAGAACAGGCTCTTGAGCCATGCATTCCATGCGATGCAACTGTTCCTCATAGAAGAATTGCATCTCATTCCTTGTCACTGCCCCGTTTCCATCCAAGTCTATGCACTTGAACCTATCAGATTCAGATCAAATCAAATCAAATCCCCTTTTTTTATATCTCTCACTCCTACAAAATTAACTTTTTTTTTTTTTAAATAAAAATAAAAAATACCAGTACTCAAGACTTGGCTCAGATGACTTATCCTCTTCAGACAAAATGAAGTAGACAAAATCCTCATATCCCATTTTCCCTTCAACCTTACTCGTAAACTTTCTTGGAACCTGGTGGTTCATGGTTGTGTTTTAAAATTTATATAATAAAAAAGATTAAATACAATACAATACAATACCTGGGAAAATATTCTGTCAACAATCCTGTAGGTCAATGCATGGTTGCCATATCTTATAAGGTTCTCTTTATCAATCAAAAAATCATGATCTGTGTCCAGCTCCCAGAATTTGCAATATATTACATAGAAATGCTCGTAAGAGAAATATCTGTGGAAACAAATTCAAATTATATTTTAATTTCACTTAAAAGCTTATTATGATAAAAGTTGATTCTATTCTATTATACCTCAAAACTTTGTTTATGTCTTCTTCTTCATCTGCATGCAGCATTGCAGCAATTAGATTTCCACGTTTGAGCTCCCTCAGGGTCAGACGACCATTACCCCCTCTATTCACATAGTAAAATATGCGGTATATTACCGTTTCAGCTGCTCATCCCAACAAAAATACATATATGTTAATCATCAATTCAATGCTATTATTATACTTTTTTTTTAATAAGAAACAATTCATAAAAAATGTACATAGGACCAAAAATAAACTATTCACTGCATTGCATCTAAATAACAACATACCATATCTCTCCTGAAATTCAGGTGTGTTTTGTAAGAACTCCAGACCTGGATGACTTGCTAAGAGTTCACGAAGTATGGGTTTGAAGTCCTCCTATTGCAAAATTCAAAATTGTAACATCAGTTTAAGAGGAAGCTTGTCATATTCCTATTTGAACTTACAAAAATCACATTTGCATTTCCACAATCAGAATAAAGTACAGTGACAATGATGGAGCTTGAGTAAAGAGGAATACGTGAGTTAGATATCTCAAATCAGGCTGCTTCAAAATTGTAAATATTTGGGTAGCTATATCTTTTGTCAACATGTTGCTATGGATCCAATACTCAACAAATGCATCCCTGCAGTGTAGCCATGTTTTAGTTTTAGACAAAATTAGGAGTATAAAAACTAAATGTCACAATATCAATCATAAGTCATAACCCATAATAAGCTTCTACATGAAAATATTTGAAAACCAATGTTCTATCACAGATTCCTTTTGCTAATGGATCATGTCAATGTAAACTTCCAAAACCAACTGAGGACAACATATATATATATATATATATATATATATATATATACTGAGGGGCAAAAACAAAAGCATAAAGTTTGGCAGTATTACTCATAGGGATAAGGGCAGGATTCACATATAAATGAACAGATAAGATGCTCTGAGGGGGGTAAAAGTCCTGCTTATCATTTTTTTTTTAATATGACCCTTATGCATTCATTATACAACCAGTTCATATGGATTTCCAGAAATTCAGATTAACTACTCATAAAGACATAGATAAGAATATACCTGGTCACACCAGTGCCATTAACATCAATCTTTTTGTAAAGAGCGGTAGAGAAAAAAGAAGGCAGCTTGCAAATTTCCTTTGTAATTGGTTTGAATTCTATTCATTCAATTCAAAATTAGCACAAATGAAGTACACATATACCCATTGAAAAGGTAAACTGATGGTTCATGATATAATATGCATAATTACTATTAGGGAGATGCCTCACCATGCAATTGTAGCCCTTCCATATGACCATAGAAAAATTGGTTGCATTGAAATAAACATCGTTCTTTTAGTTCATTTGGGGGTGGACGACCATTTTGAAAGTAAAACTGCAACCATTGCCATGTACTTGAGTCAAAACTCAAAACTAAAGCATTAAAAGTTAAAACAAAAGAGATCAAAATAAGAATTGATTTTTTGCTATCAAATTCAAACCTGAGGTATTAACTCTTTTGCTGGCTCACTCAATAATCTCAAAGGAGAACCTAAAACTGATGGGCCCGCCCTATGTTTTGTAATACGAGGAGAACCAGAACCAGATGAACTTCTTGGTGAGAGTGGAGGTGTACTGCCAGCTGGAAACATGGAAGGTATTGAAGAGCCGGAAGTAGCCTTAGGGCTGTTAGTTGATCCAGGCACATTCAATGGAACACCCGCCTTTGCATTGTTAACTAAAGATTTTACCTATATATTCAGAGAGGAAAAATCATGAATGGTTTTCTTACTTATCCAACAAACTAGAACTAATGAAAGTGTGATCATGATACAAATTGTCTATATATGCTATTGATGTGATAGTTACTTTTCCTATATCCTATTCAGTTGTTCTTCCATTTAAATGAATCATTCAACCCATGTACAATGTGCACAAGGTAAACATTCGATGCCAGATGCCAACCCTAATTTGGGCTAGGTAAGTTATAACTGATGAAGAACATCAATTTCAACATTTATTAACTACCACTTTGCCATCTTAATCTAGCTACATCTGACAGAAACCAATCTAACCGTCATCAACTGATGATAAAGAACTATTATGATAACGGTATAATACGAACGATTTTCTTGCACAAAAGAAATATTATGATTACAGTACTTACTAAAGGAGTGGTTTCAGGAAGAGAGAGCCATTGCTCGAACAGTTTCTCAGCAACATAAGGATTTGATTTAATAGCCAGAGGAGACACTTCATTCAGCTGTAACAATTCAGGGTCAAGACAACCCGCTTCACCATTATTATCCATATCCATCTTTCCTCGATCAAATCCTTTATCAGCACCTGGATTCAAACTCTATCATCCAGATCTCAAATTGAAAACCCACGAAGATCAACTTAACCCTAGTAAACCAAAAAAGGAAACGAAACTTTTTCACATATATTGTAATCGTACGGGCTTGACTATTCTCTCGCTTAAGAGTCAATCAATCGCATTGAATCATACTTGCGAATTGGGAATGATAAGATTTTGGGAGTTTACGGAGCTAGATGAAACAGATCCCAACCTGAAATTGGGGTTTTTCATAATAATGTTCGCGGAGATCGATGTAGAAAGTGGATGGTATGATGAATTTGGGGGAGTAAGATTCGAGATTCTTGCATGAGTGATGTTGGGGGAAATAAAGAGAGATTGCACCTGAAGCGGAGAAGAAGATGATAGAAGGAAACGCGTCGTTGGAAGGCCTAACCAAAGCAGGCGACCAAATGGACGAAGGCACGATAGTAATAGAGACGAAAAAGGTTTATTTCCCCTTCTTTTTTTTCTTTTTTTTTTTTAAACGCCTTGCTTATTATGTTTTGAGTAAATTACACGAATCGTCACTCGTCTAGGTGCCAAAATGTACGTTCAGTCCCTTTTTTTAAAAATTAATTCGGACCGTCCCTTGTTTGTTTTAAACTTGCATGTTTCATCCCTCATTAGTTTAAATTTACACGCTTCATCCTTTGACAGACATACAATGACTATATTGCCCTTATGAATTTATTTTTTAATTTATTTTAATATTTTTATTATTATTTAAAATTAAAAAAAAAAAGAATATGGCCACCCACTAAGATTTTAATCCATTTCGTTGCATCTCTACCACCGGTGACCATCCGCCTCCTGTGTCTACCTTCTCTCAAACGCGCTTATGCCCTCCTTCTCCGATGACTCTCACCTCCGGCGGCCGTCTACCTTAATTCCGCCACCACCTGATTGTTTTCACATAAAACGCAAATCGATTTGAGAAAATCAAATCAAAACACATTGGTTTCAAACTGAAGCAGGTCGATTCAAAACCAAGAAAATTAACCACCATCGAAAACTAGATCCACTCAAAATCAACCACTGGAAAGCAAGATCTACATGAGAGTTTAAGTGATAAGAGGGGCGAAAGAGAGAGAGAGAGAGAGAGAGAGAGAGAGAGAGAGAGATAGAGGAGGGGGGAAGCAAGTTCATATTCAAAATCGGCATCTTGTTTCTCTAACAGCCAAAACAAGAACTGATCAGAAGATTGAGAGAAGATGAGTGTGCTAGATGAATTTTCCGACCAGCGATGGCGGTGGGCCGTACAGATCAACGGAGTGATGCATTTCTCTGACACTACTACCCAGAAGTGTTTAGAGAGACGATGTTCATTATACAGATCGACGAAGGGCAGATCCACAGAGATACAACCAATTTAGGGTTTGATGGGATGATCTTCAGAGTTTTCCAGATGACTTTTCCAACCACCACCCTCGATTGAATGATTCCGACGTTTCTGGTGTTGCCCTTGATTGAATCGTTGTTGGAGATGGTGCAGATTGCTACGCTCGATTGAATGGCTATTGGAAATGGTGATTTAATGTGAAAGATGGAAGGCAACGATGAGTGTGGTGTTGTTGATGATTCTGATGGTTCTGGTTTCCAGGGAACGTAACAGCAAAAGGGGAAGGGGGAGGGGAAGAAGAGAGGGGTGGGTTGTTGTGTGGTTGGTGGTAGGGGTATTTATTTATTTTTAATCAAAAAAATGATAAATAAATAAAATAAAATAAAATATATATATATTAAGGGCAAAATAGTCATTTTATGTCTTCAGGGACGGTCCAAGTGAAAAAATAATAATATAGGGACGATCCGAGTTAATTTTTAAAAATAGAGACTGAACGTGCATTTTGGCACCTAGACGAGGGACGATTCGTGAAATTTACTCTTATGTTTTAGACGCACAAAAAAAATATAACTATTCTAATTGTCAAAACTATTTCAGGCCAAAACCAACAATATTAATACTCTCGTTTAACCGTTCACGACCAAAACCTAATAATTTTACTAATCACACATATCTAAAACATAATAAATCATAAAAATTAAACAAACATTTTAAAATCAAATTCAAATTAAATAGGAGAAAACCCCATCTTCTTTTAGTATCGGATTCTCAACACTCTACAACTCAACCCAACTAAAAACCTTAACCCAGTAGAAACTTAAGCCCACTTAAGTTTAGCCAAACTTAAATCTTTAGTCCATTAAGAATACCAACCCCCCTCCCCCTACATTGTAATAAACCCTATTTCTTTTTCTCATGTTTTTCTATTTTTCAGCCAAGAAACACAAAGAATCTCTTTCTCTCTTCTTCCTTTTTTTTTTCTTTTCTTGATTCACGGTGGTGGTCTGATTTTTCTATGAAGATGTCGATGGTTTATGATTTTCAATTGTTTAATAGGTGGGCATATGTGGTGATTAGGGTGGAATTGATACGGTGTCAAGTTTTTTCCTCCAAACCATGTATTGTACTGACCCAATAGAAACTTAAGCCCACTTAAGTTTAGCCAAAACTTAAATCTTTAGTCCATTAAGAATACCAACCCCCCTCCCCCTACATTGTAATAAACCCTATTTCTTTTTCTCATGTTTTTCTATTTTTCAGCCAAGAAACACAAATAATCTCTTTCTCTCTTCTTCCCTTTTTTTTCTTTTCTTGATTCACGGTGGTGGTCTGATTTTTCTATGAAGATGCCGATGGTTTATGATTTTCAATTGTTTAATAGGTGGTTATATGTGGTAATTATGGGTGGAATTGATACGGTGTCAAGTTTTTTCCTCTAAACTATGTACTGTACTAACTATAGTTGGCAAAAGAATTTAACTACCAGTGTCGTACCAAATATGCTTGGTACCAACTTACTTGGCTACCAAAAAATCGGTTGGTACATATTGGTATTGATATATACCAAAACTTGTGATTGTCGATTGAGAAGTGGGAACAAGAGGGCGAGAAGTAAAACCGTGAAAATTCAAAATTGGTAGCCTAACCTAAAAGGCTAAAAGTGAACATGAGTAATTGAAGTTGTGGTCGCTTGTGTTACTAAATACCATTGTTGTAAATGGTGGCCTAGACGCTAGGCGAACAACAACTACCTATAATTTTTGCTAGGCAGTCAAATTAGACAGAGTCGGTTAACTTCGGTCTAGACAGCCTAGGCAGCCGAAATTTCCAATTTTAAAATTTAAAATTTTTAGATTTTTAATTTTCAAATATTACACCAAGTTATCAAAACTTCAAGTTTCAAACTTTCAAAATTTTAAAATTTAAAATATTTATTTCTTATATATATTTTACTATATTATTATACAAACCTTACTATTTCTAAAAATAGATTTAAGACGTCCAAATGTTTAAGCTTAAAGTACAACAAACCTATAATATAATAATTTTATAATTTAAATCGTCTAAATGTTTAAACAGAAAATACAATCACTCAATGCATAGGTTTCTTATTTAATTCACGCTGTAGGTTTCCTTATTTCACTTTGACCTAGCCTCCTTTAAATCCCCGATATATCGCTTATTTTCTTTATCACGTTTGATTTGAATTCCAGATACCCCAATCTCGGCATTTATCCAGCAACAAACCTAAACCGATTTCATGCTTGATATGCTATGATCCGCAACCCAAATGATCATCCATCATCTGCCAGATCTATGTCCTTCAGATGTCATCGCTATCAGCCACCATCAAAAGCCTAGAACCCATCTCATAAATCAGCCACTGTCAGAACTCCAATGGATGTTTTAGTGGCGAAAAAAGTCTTCCCCCTTCTTTGGTTCCTTTTATCCCAACCACCATCGCACAACCTGCACACAAACACCACGATGTCGGAACTCAAAGGTTTTATGTCAATTTCCTTGTCTCTTATGTATATAGATCTCATGCCTTTTCACTAATAACATCAAGCAGGTGAAAGTATGTTGGTTTTACTTATTGTTCTTCATTTTGAAACACTTGTGAAAAGATATAGTAGATTAAGAATTTGGGAAATCGCAAGGCTGCTATGAAGAAGAAAATTGATACAAATTATGGTTTGATTTATTTATTCTGTTAATACAAATGACGAAGGATGTTGATACAAATTATTGTTTGATTTATTGATCGTTTTTAATTTAAAACCTCAAATTTTAAATTGGATTTCATTTCCTTTTTGAATTAATTAGATACTTAAGGGGTTTTGATGTTTTATTCTGGTCTTGCAGAAATCGAGCATCAAGAAGTAAGTTTTCTTCCTTATTTCTGGTGATTGTTTTCTTTACCTAACCTCTTTTTTGCAGGATTTTCTGATTTCTCTATCTTTGTTACAGATGCAGGATCTGTACGTAATTTAGCTACAAAGTCACAATTGATGGGTTTGAGCCATAAGAACTTTCCTATGTGCACATGCAAACCCTAATGCTTGGATCTAGGTT